TGAAGTAACCCGTACAGATCTGCAGACTGAATCAGTTAAGAAATATTAACCCAACACTCGTCTTTGGAGATTTCACCCTGAAACAGAGAAGGTGAGTTGCAATCACAAGCTCCGCAGCCGTTGCATTTACTTCTTTGCTAACACAAATTCTGCCCAAAATCCTTCGGGTCATTCAAAACAGCCTGGAATAAACCCACAGTTGCATGAATCCCCGACCACCTTGGGAACATCCGCTGCATGTCAAAGGCGCACTCTTCATTCCTATTCAAACCCAGAGAGATTCAGAGCACATTTATGAAGAGAAACCCCTTGCCGACAGCTCGGGAGCTCCCCGAAGGCCGGACATCAATTCTGGCCGAAGCTTTGAAGAGGTACCACCACCAAACTCGGGTGTGCCACCACTGCCCTCTGCCGCAGCACGGCCCCTGGCCCATCCCGCCTCGTCTTGGGTGGATATTCTGGAAAACAGTACCGTTTCTCCTTAATTAAAACCCACACCACCTCTCCCCACCCCCAAACGCCTTGTGCTTTTGATAATCTTTCTCCCCGACGCCATCAAATCATCCCCCGTGCAGACCTCGCTTATGGTCTGAGATTTTTCTAACAGCCTTTTGGACTCACACATCCCAAGTTTCTAGTTTTGAAAACTTCAGGTCTTCATGTGCATTTTTTTAAAAAACACTTCTTAAAATGTGGTTTAAACATCAGTAAACAACTACCAGATTTATGGCGTGTTGGAGGGGGGGTTGTCTTGAGTGTGGGGTTGGTTTTTTTCTTCTACATAATCATTCACAGACAAAGTAAATAATCAAAAGGCTGCAAAATCCTCATTTTGCAACAATGGGAGGAGTTCAATATAGAAAATAAAAATTGTGGTTATGTGTTCACATCAGACTGTTGCCACATACTTTTTACTCTTTTTTTTTTTTCCTTTGAGTAATACACTGCAGAAGACAGATTTTAGCAACAAGTGCATTTGTAATATCCTCAGTGAAAAATCAAAAAATTAGTATCATCTGAACAACTTCCATTTCATACTAAGAGAGGATTTCAACATTTGCTTTTTAAACCGGCAATTACTCATTGCCATTTCTTCAAAATAATTAATAACACTTGTAACCTGTTCATGTTAAGTGAAATGTAGAACTAAATATACAGTGAATTGCAATTTTGCAGCAGGAGCTCCTCTTATCTTCTCCAATCCTGATGACTTTTTTAAGATGCCTATACAAGTCTTTTATGAAGAGCAAAGATCTAGGTTGTATATCAGAACTTGAGCTGGGATATAAATTCATTTTCTATTATTTTACCCTGGGGAATAGCACACAGGACATAGTAAAAGCCCTTGGAGCTCCTGCATCTGCAAAAGAACACAGCACTGTTCAACACCAAAACCCTCCTCATAGCAAAAAATATCAAAGAGGATGTTTTTAGGACCAAGCTTATATTAAGTAAAACTGTATTAGGCGATTAAACTGTAATTTAAATACTGTAATATTAGTCCATCACATATGGAGTAACTCTAAGCAAACCTCAGGAGAAGCACAAGTACAGATAAATGAAATAATACTAAAGTCTCGTTAATTGTACACCAGGTTTTCTCATCCTACTTTTCATTTCTTCCTTTTTTTCTTCACTTTACCCTTTTTAAGCTATTTCTGGTGTGCTGGACTCCACTCAAAACTGCTCATCACAAAGAGGCATCTGCTCCAGGTCGAACACCGTCATTTCTGGAGTTGACGAGTCACCTGTAACAGAGAAGACTCACTTCGTTACTCACAGCAAGAGTGAGACTAACGCAGCATTTCCTTTCCAAAAGAGGGCAGAAAACAAAACTTCAGATAGGAAAAAGTTGAACTTCATTTCATTGCACGTTCCCAAGTCCTAGGAGAGCCTTGCAGGGCTGCTTGCAAGCAGCAAACATTCCCTAAAATAAAAAGTAATATTTTATTATACCTGTATTTTTAATACACCTGTATTACAAACCAACCCACAGCTGGTTAAGATGCCTTTAAAAATTTTTTGGCAGAAAATCCTTCACTGTTAAGTATCCCGTTACTGCAAGAGTAGACCAGCAACATGGGGTCCCATTTATTTCTACTAAACATACCGGACGTCCTATCCACAACGTGGACCTGTAATTTTGGAGTAATATGGGTCAAAATTCACCAGCCATCTCGTCCGGTCAAAACCAAAGTTAATTGCAAGGACCTGATATCAAGTAATATACTCATTACTGATAACCTGCAATTTCATCTGGACTGTTCTGGTAATCCTACACTCTCAGAAACCTACCTTTTCACAATGCACTAGAGATACAGGTAAATACTAACACAGACACAAGAAAAAGAAAAAAAAAAAAAAAAAAAGATTTCTGCAGTACAGAAAACTACTTCAGCCAGGGTGCAGAAACAGGACGTGAATAATAACCAATACAGAACAGTAATTCCAAAATCTGGTTTCCTTCCGATTTGGAACAGCCCCCCTGCTTCCTGCAGATTTCAAGTTCAAAGCAGAACCAATGTCTCACCGGCTCTGGGGTAATTCCCACCCTGGGCAGCCCTGCATTGGGAAACCCCGGCAGCACCAGCCCTCGCCAACCCCCCGGGCACATCGCCTCCGTAGCCCCAGCTCCAGGGCACCGTGCCCGGTGAGCAGCCAGGAGCTGAGGTTTTCCCTGTGACTGGCCAAAATCAAATCACACTTTGGACAGAAAATTGTTTCAGAGTTGGTGGAATGTCACCAAAATCAAGAACGGTGTCTCAGTCACAATTTTCAGATCAGAAAATGCTAATAAAATTTGCTGATCAACAAAAAAATAACTATACATTTGGTTACCCAAAGCAACTGACAAAATACCTTAGAATTTTCTCAGCATCACGACTGCGGTAGTGATATAAACTTAATGTTGCCTAATAATTCAAGAAAGAAACTGAAGATCATCCATCTTGAGATCACTCAACATGGAGGAGAGAGAAGAGGACCCCCCTAAACAGCCCTGCCCCAGTCACAGGGCTGGATGCTCTACTTACCGCTGGAGCCCCAGGCAGCACACTCCTTCCATACGTGGGACAGCATTGCCAGCAGTGATTCACGGGCAGGAAAGTCCCAAGGTCTCCACCATCCGATGAGAGGGTAGAAAAGTCAGAGGGCACATCAGGAGGGCTTTCTTCAGCAGGTCTTACTGCTCATCCAACACCCTGGCAAGTCGCAGGGATTTTGTTTCTGCTATCGGAGCTGCACATCCACCACGACTGCCCTACACAATGAAATCATGCAAACTGCAGCCATGATTTAACATCTCCACCTCTTAACTCCCTCCAGGAAGCAGGAA